TTTGTGGCATTGATATTAATGTCGTTGATTCTATAGAAGTCTGAGCAAATGTCACATATCTCTTGGAGGTTGATGCTATTTTCTGCATCTTTAGTCTAAAACTATATGTTAGTTTTTTATTATATATATATTAGTTTATATATTAGAGTCAAATTTTTAAAAATTATTTTAATTATTCAGATATTATAATACTTTTTTATTTGAATTTTAAAAAAGATTTTTATCTTTTTTATTATTATCTACATTATCACCAATAAGTTTTATTTAATAGATTCTTTATTTAAAAAATTACTAAATTGAAATATTTAAGTTAAAATAATCAAATCTCACAGTTTGTCAATATAGTTTGAAATAAAAAATGTTTAGACAATAGTGTTATGTTTAGATGATTATCACAATTCTAAAAATAGAATCCTGATATTTGTTTTTTATCCAGTTTAGAGAAATAGAACAAATATAATTTATATAATTAAACTGAAATTCTTTTTTTATATAATTCTTATAATAGATCAATTTCAACTCAACAATCAACAGAGAGATCAAAAGTCTTATTCTTGTAAAACCTGATTATTTTTTTCATATGACTTTTATATGATATTGAACTTTGGATCTTGTGATTACAATCTGAAAACACTATCACTATATAGTAGTAAAATAAATATCAAATTTAATTCTTTATGAATTCATCAATATTTCAAATTTTTTATAAAATTTTTTAATTGATATTAGATAAGTTTAAAAAACATATTGATTATTATTATTATACATTATCATTATTTAAAGTTATTCTATGTTTTAATTCACAATTTATACAAGTTAGGCAAGTAAAAATATAATATTCAAAAATATAGTAAAATCAAAGAATTTATAATTTGAATGGTATCGGGATTAATTACCGCGCTGATTAGCGTATAATAATAGCACCTGATCGAATGTTTATGTGTGACGTTTCACTCACATGTTAATACGCGACAAAATCATTTGCCTTGTTTATATCTAAAGAAGAATAAGGAGAATGCACTTGTCACCTGAATGCTTAAACGAGCTTAGATACCACGGTAAGGCAAGCTGTAACAGTGATTTCTTGCGAAATGTCTATGACGTAAATGACGTAACCTTACGTTTATTAAATATGTAGCTTTCTGGGAGAACATTGATGAGCCATCACTTTGAATTTCCGAATACACATGGAAGACTTGAAAGATGAGACGACGAAACATAACCAATACATGAGAAATGAATACTATAAGCAAAGATTATCCTGAATTGTCTGAGATTTGGAAGAAGGTCAAAAACTTAAAGCTAGATTTCAAGGTATTATTCTTTCAACTTGATGGTGTGAGGCGTGTTAGTATTTATATATCAGTTCACAGACTACTTTGCGGACTGCGTGTTCGTAAAGGAAAGACTGCGTGTTTGTCTGGAAAATTGTATATTAATACGCCGTACTTCACGGACTACTTTGTGGACTGCGTGTTCGTAAGGGAAAGACTGCGTGTTTGTCTGTGTTAGTGCAAGTATGCAGTGATTAATGGACTACTTTGCGGACTGCGTGTTCGTAAGGGAAAGACTGAGTGTTTGTTCAAGAAAACTGCGTGCTTGTGTATTTGTGTATGTAACTTCATGAACTACTTTGCGGACTGCGTGTTCGTAAGGGAAAGACTGCGTGTTTGTTCAGAAAAGTTGCTTACATGTCCATGGCGGTCTTATTTTCTTTTTTATGTACAAATGGAACAATTTGTCACTATCTTTTATTTTCTCAAAACAGAATGATAAAAACTCGAACAAAATAAATAAATTTTGGGATTTGCAAACGAAGAGACAAAATATTATCGTGGAGATAAAGTTGCTTGAAGAAAAAAACAAGTTGGTTGAGAAGGAGCTGGAGTGTCATATTAATATTGAACAGGTATATATTGGTAACTCACGTTACGCTTAATCTCGACATTGGTACACTGAAAGTATGTTTATTCCCTTTTAGACTCAACAAATTCTGGATACGACAAGAGAGAACCGAAGTCAAGTTAGTTTATTACAACAAGCAATTACAAGAAAAATTGGAAAACGCGTATTGGATGAAACACAAGTATCTCGCGAGCCACCAAAAAGTAAGATTAAAGTTATTAATGAGAACGAAACTGCACATGATTCTAGCGAAGAGAGTGAAGTGGAAAAGTTGATGTAGAAAATGAAGAGGAGATCAGAGATCTTACGGAGGTACTTTGGTTTTTTTCTAACTTTATGTATAATATTTTGCTTGTTCATACTTAATCTCTTAAGATGAAGCAGAAATTCGTAATAAGTTGCTCAACATCTTGGTTGAGTACCAAAATAAAGATAAAAAATCAGGAGAAAATTACATGAGTTCAGTATGTCTTAATGGCATATTAGATCTCGCTGACGAAAACGTGTATAAGACAGTTAAAAAGTCTCTTGGTAAGGATCAACTCAACTGGTTTGAAAAAGTTATCATGAAGAAAAATTGGAAACTACCCTCCGAATTTGTACAATATGTTGAGCAATTTACTGAGGATGCATGTACTCGAGCCGAGATTCCAACTATTGTGCGTAAGTCCTATGTCCCCGGGAGATTTGATCCTTATTATGTAGCGCACGATATCGCCCAACAAATATTAACGCATTTGTAAGTATTTTTTAATATTAACATTAATGTATCTTTCATACTATTACTTATCTTCTGCAAATAGTTCTGTTCGACTTGAAGCTCCAATGAGAGTCGAATATAAAGGCCTCGATTTAGAAAGAACTTTCGTCATCGTCACCGTAGTGTACATCTTAAATCGACTATTTAGGATGCACCAAGACGAATTAGATGTTGCATGGTAAATATCAATTTTAAAATTCGGTTTCGAATTATTAAACTTATTAATCTTTGTTGTTTAACTAAGGATTGAAGAAACTACTCCGGACACAAAAGACCATAAATTTACAAAGTGATCAAGACAACCGGTAAAGGTCAGGTCATAATTATTGTGGAATTTTCATATGGAAGAAAAGCACCCGAGTCCAAAAAGGAGGGCGATCAGTTAAAATTATGTCGAAACGTGATGAGAACTCTAAACAAATTATTAAAAACTATACCAAAGGACCGTGCACGAATATGTTTAGTACAATCTTTCAGTAAGTATTGCAATCAGAAACCAAATATCATGAAGTTTGATTATTATTTATATCGATTTATACATGCTTAATATTTTCTTATAGATGGGTTTATCGATCGGCCAATTCCATCTATATATATACTTCAACACTTCATGTGTACCAAATTACCCACCTCCTTTGGAGACTTTGAACAATTCGCTAACGATCTAAAAGACCTAATGAATTGACAGGTAATGGATTGAAAATGTATATTTTTAGATATCTTGTCAAATACTGTATATATAATAACCACTCTTTGTTATTACAGGCTGATGTCTTGTCATCGGTTAGTGCAGTAAATAAAGCAATCATAATAGATAATACAAGAGGAGACAATAATCTCCATTTAACTTCAATTGAAGATACACCATTAAAGAAAAAGATGAAAAAAAATCAAACTTTACCCTCATCTCCCAAATCTCCATGTCCCGGTGGATCACCTTCAGAATTACCATCATTGATTTAGAAAAGATGGATTTTGAGAATTGGTTTTGTTTTTTATACTACAGCGTGTAATTTCTTTTATGATAATATAAAACAGACAGTACCTTGCTAAGGGAACGGGTCAAATATTTTTTTGCACTTAGCATATATAATAGAAACTAAATTTTTATTGTTAATCTTATATTATTTATCCGAAGTTTACTTAATGCCTAACTTAGGCTTCGAATTTTTTTGCTTGTGTAGTATGAGTGCGTGTATCGAAAAAATGAATACTATTAACTGTATGATTGTGAATTTTTAAATCTTGAAATGAACAGAATTTAACTGATGGGATAGTAGTATTTTATATAGTTCGTTCTTTTATAATTTACGAGACTCCGTCCAGGTTTATAAAGATCGTGAGGATAGAATCGAAAGAGATTCGCATGAGAATTGTTTAAATGATTCCTCATCAAGACCTGAACGATGCACGAGATCTGAATAACCGAATCAAACTCGACAAGCCGAAACCAAATCAGATACGAATCCCACCAGCGTCTACTGATTGTAGAAGAGGGCATATCTTTAAGATTTTTTACTATATGATATAACTGTAGATCTTAATAATCAACTACTTTATTTTAGATTTGTCGCGCGCCCGGCGTGGATTGAAAGCAGAGGATCCACTACCCGATGGGATCTAGTTCAATACTTATATAGCGAAAATAATTATATAGAGAAAATAATTATATAGATTTAGCGGTATAATATTTCATTCGCAGAATCATCTCAGCCAAGAAATTATGTAAATATGATTATTTTCTTGTCAAAATTTCAGCGAACTAATTATTAAAAAAGTTCTCCAAAATCACGTGTTTGTTTATAATCCTTTAGGGTTGTTCCTTCGGTCCTGAGATCTATACAAAAATAAACCATATTATTGCACAGTATAAAGAATCCAGTCTGCCCTAAATTGAATCGCATTATTCTTACTATATAGTTGATAAAATCTAATAGGTCTAAATTTCTAAATACTATATATTCACATAATTTCTAAAATATTATATGAAATTCCACGTAAATAGATAAATCGAATTTGGTCTTGTTTACATGTTTACAATATTTCAAAGAGAATGATTTTTTACCTTCTCAAAACAAAAAATATTTTGAAATTAGGGAATTGGGGGGTTTTTTTTTTTAACCCACAACCATGCCATATGGCTTAATCTTTATTGAAAAGTTTATATAACTATCTATAATATTATAGATTTTTACATAATGACTAACTTATTATTGCACTAAAGTACTCTAAGTCAGGTCTAGAGAAAAATATTTCTCTTCTAGAGGATTGATATAAACCTCTATTTTCTAGGTTTATCATCAATAGTTGGTTACTATAGATTGCTTGAAAACTATAAATTGTTAAATTAAAAAGAAAGTAAAGAAAAAAAAGAAAAAAAGGATACAATTCAAGCTTTTTTCAAAAAATCTATCAATTGAACAATCTTCTTTCAAAATGGATTTGCTTAATTGAGATATTCTTTTTAAACTTTGAAAAAGATTTTCTTTATTACCATCTATAATATAAGGCAAGTCAATCTAATTAGATCTATTATTTAAGTAAGCATCAAATTAGATTAGTTCAAAAAAAACTTAAAAATTTCAGCTTTTAATTAAATGAGATTTTATAATTCATATTATTCATCTTTTGTCTTTTGATATCTTAAATATTTTTAAGGGCTTAAAACTTTTGGAAAAAATCAATTTTTAAAACTTTCTTTTTAATTACTACTAATATTATTGAAATATATAAGTATAGTTAATAAAAACTTGTTGATATTTTATAAACTAATATATTTAATGACAACTAATTATTTTTAATAAAAATTTGTGCTATCTAAAATTTAAGATTAAATTGAAATAGATAAAATTTCTCAAAAAACTATAAAAGTTGAAGCTCTAAAAAGATCAAAATAGTTAAAAAGAGAAAAAATATGTCAAAAAATCTCTATAATCTCTTGATTCAAAAATTAAAAAGGTCTTAAAGTACCTTATAATCAGTTTTTCTTTTTTTAAAAACTTTTTTACCATTGATATCAAAAGTATTACTTAACTTTTCTTGATTATTAGAAGTTAAGTTTTAAATAAAGTAATTTGTAAACAAAAAAAAAGAATAGAAATAACTCTTGAAGTTATACTTTAAGATTTTATTAATAAGAAAGTAAAAAAACTTCATATGAATATCTTTTTTATATATAATTAAAGGATCCCTAAAAAGAGTTTGAAGTTATGAAATTAATATTATTATACAGTATATTTATATGATTAAATTAGCAATTTATTACTTTTTTTTTAAACCTGTGATTAGACTAATATTATTTATTTATTAATTAATATGAAAATTAATAGAGATACATAAAGCAATTGCATTATAGATAAACTAAAACTCATGTTAACTTACTTATTAATAGCTTTTAATCCTAAAAAAGTTTCAGTCTTTAAGTACAACCTTGGGAATAATAATTTGCTTTATAGTAAATTTTGTATTAATACCCTTCTAATTTACATATTATTGTCAGCAGATTATTACTATTTATTATTCTTTAAGAAACTAATTTCTAGAAACTACAAAAAGGGAAAAAGGGAGAAAATAAAAGGAAAAGGTATATCTAAAAATATACAATTGTGCTACCTGAAAATGAAAAGGAAAAATAAAAAATAAAAGTGCTCTATGTTTTCCAAAGAACCTCTATTAGAAACCTCTTCTCATTAGGAGTCAACTCTTCTGGAATATCTTTCTTCTTTCTAACTGTCTGAGAAACTTATCTATCTATAACTTTTATTATTTTCTTATGACTGTTTAAGGTACTTATCATTTACTTGAATTCAATGTCTTATTCAATATTTTCTTTCTTTTAATCTGGATTTTGTATCCTCTAATACAGAACAAAATAATTAATAGAGAATTACAAGTTATTATATAACTTTTCAGTCTTGTTATATTATTTTTTAGCAGCCAGCCATGTCTAGTTAAAGAAATTTTACTGATATTCATATTAATTGTAATACTATTACACAATATCTGAAAAATACATTCTCAATCTTAGAAAAGAGTATTTTTTTGTTTTTCAGTCTTATAACCTAACTGGAATAAGAAAATAATCACCTTTATATACTTTACCTAACCAAGATAATAAGAAGTTAAAGGTCTCAGTTTGAACAAATAATCATCTTTTTATTACCTAGAAAATATAGTATCTATCCTAATTGCCTCATAATTTTTTTGCTTCAGTTACACTTATTTGGAGGAGTAGAGGAATCTGTACTAGTAATTTTTCTTTCTTTCATCAATGATATTATCAGAATGCATGTTATAACTAGTAGAAACATGTTTTCATTCTGATATTAACATGTTTTGTATCAACAATCACCTTTAATAAAAGCTATGTCGATTTTATGTTACTCCAAAATTTAGGGTCAAGCTGGAATAGGCAAAATTTCACAAAAACTCTTAAAAATGAATGCCTTTAAGAGAATAAAAACAATAGAAAGAAAAGTTTTATAGTTTAGTTTTTTGTTCACTTATCTATTCACTGCACA